AGTAGTAGTAGTAGTAGTAGTAGTAGTAGTAGTAGTAGTAGTAGTAGTAGTAGTTGTAGTAGTAGTAGTAGTAGTAGTAATAGTAGTAGTCGTAGTAGTAGTAGTCGTAGTAGTAGTAGTAGTAGTAGTAGTAGTAGTAGTTGTAGTATGAGTAGTAGTAGGAGTAGTTAGTAGTAGTATAGGTAGAAGTAGTAGTATAGTAGTAGTAGTAGTAGTAGTTTAGTACGTAGTAGTAGTAATTATGATTACTATTATGTGGAGTATGTCCGTAGTCGCAGTTCGCAGTTAGAGTAGTAGTAGTAGTAGTAGTAGTAGTAGTAGTTGTAGTAGTAGTAGTAGTAGTAGTAGTAGTAGTAGTAGTAGTAGTAGTGGTAGGAGTAGTAGTAGTAGTAGGAGGAGGAATACGAGGAGGACGAGAAGTAGGAGGAGGAGTGGAAGAGGAAGAGGAAGAGGAAGAGAAATATGATGATGATGATGATGATGATGATGATGATGATGATGATGATGATGATGATGATGATGATGATGATGATGATGATAATGATGATGATGACGAGGAGGAGAAGGAGGAGGGGGAGGAGGAGGAGGACAATGAGGAGGAAGAGGAGGAGGAGGAGGACCAGTGTAAACCCAAGAGTCATCAACGATGTTGGAATTAACCCTCTCTCCAAGCTCCCTCTTCATAGGCCCCTACAACGGTTCATTTCCATTGAGGGAACTGCCTTGTTGGAAGACAACCGTTGGAAGACCTTGAAGCATGCCAAAACATTGTTCTCGAGATTTCCACGCCAAGGATCAACCTGACTGCTGCGTCCTGGATGCGCTCGCGTCGTGGCAACAAGCAAATCACGGCGGGCAGCTTCTGGGTGATCTTCGGCCTCAGGGGCCCTCACCAAGCCCCAGCCAGGGCGTCAAGAACGACTCGGGATGAAGAGCCAGTGCCTGGGACACGCTCCCGGCCTGTGGAGGGCCACGTTGCGAAAAAGTCATGACCGCTGATGTGATGTCGGGGGGGCGAACATGAAAGAGCCCAGGGACACACAAATTCGCCGGCCCAACGGGCCAGAGGCGTGCTAAGATCTCCGGTAACTACTTAACAATATTTCTAGTTCGCGCGCGCGGGGCGGCCCCTGGGGGGCCCCGGACGAGAAGTACCCTGGCCGATCCCCGGCTGACCCCCGGGCGATCCCTAGGGGGGAGGCTATTTTTCGCCACCCCTCATGAGGATCGTGGCCTCCGAGGGGGGGGGCTGCCAACGACTACCCCCCCTCCCGCCCCAAGGGGCCCCCCAAGAGGCCCCAGGGGAGCCCAATACGCCGCCAAGGAGCCCCAAGACGCTGCCAAGAAGCCACCAAGAAGCCCCCAAGACGGCCCCAGGAGGCCCCAAATAGCGCTCCAGGGCCGGCGGAATGAGCAAAGCGATTAAATAAATACACAAATCCAGCAATCCTTTATTTTTTCGACATGTTCTGGAGTTCCGCCCCCCCCTCCCCACTTCCCACATGTTTTCATATTCTCTTGGGGATCGACGATTCTTTGTGCCTGCGTGTTTCTCCCCTCCTGAGAGAAGATGACGGCCACGAGCGTGGAGCGAGAGGTGATGGGGCGAGGAGCAGAGGGCGAAGAGACTGGGGTGAAAAGGAAGAAGCCGTGAAGGACAAGGAGGGCCGAGGAGGGATGACGGAGAAGCGAGCAAGGAGGTCGTCGTCCTCGGACTGAAGTGTGGGCGCATGGCTGACCCCCCGTAAACTCTGCAAAACTCCAGAAAACTCAACGACGTCTTGTATCGTATATCATTCTTTGTTGTTTTGTGACATCACTAGTAAACTTATGATTGCTACTATCATTATTCTTCTTGTTGTGTAATTGTGTACTCATGCTTTAAGTATTCGTATCCCGACTGTTAGTACCATTCGTATCATTATGACAATTCATATTCTTAGTATAATCATTACCAGCGCCCTGAATAATAATAGTGGTAGTGGTAGTGGTAGTGATCCTAGCAGTAGCACTAGCAGTAGCGGTATCAGTAGCAGTAGCAGTAGTAGTAGTAGTAGGAGTAGTAGTAGTAGTAGTCGTAGTCGTAGTCTGAGTAGTAGTAGTCGTAGTCGTAGTAGTAGTAGTAGTAGTAGTAGTAGTAGTAGTAGTAGTAGTAGTAGTAGTAGTAGTAGTAGTAGTAGTAGTACTAGTAATTATAGTAGTAGTAGTAATATAGTAGTAGTCGTAATAATAGTAGTAGTAGTCAGTAGTTGTACTAGTATAGTACTAGTAGTCGTAGTAGTAGTCAGTAGTTAGTGTAGTAGTAGTAGGGTAGTGGTAGTGGTAGTAGTAAGTAGTAGTAGTAGTAGTAGTAGTAGTAGTCGAGTAGTAGTAGAGTAGTACCCTAGGTAGTAGCTAGAGTAGTAAGTAGTTAGTAGTTAGTAGTAGTAGTTAGTTTAGGTAAGTAGTAGTATTGGTTAGTAGTTTAGTAGTAGTAATAATGAAAAAATAATAATGGTCAGTGGTTATAGTCGTGGTAGTAGTAGTAGTAGTAGTAGAGTGAGTATGTAGAAGTAGAAGGAGAAAAGAGTAGTGATAATAGACGTAGTAGTTCGTTAGGATAGTAAGTAGTAGTAGTTAGTAGACTATTACTATTATTAGTAAGTAATGCAGTAGTAGTAGTAAATCGTGTTAGTAAGAGTTAGAAAGTTAGTTAGTAGTAGTAGTCGTAGTAGTAGTGTATTAGTAGTAGTGTTCAGTAGTTATGTCAAAAAGTAGTGGTAGTAGTAGTATTAGTAGTAGTAGTAGTAGTAGTTAGAGTAGTGTAGTAGTAAGTAGTAGTAGTAGTAGTAGTATTCAGTAGTAGTATGTGGTAGTAGTATTAAGTAGTAGTAGTCGTGGTAGTTTAGTTAATAGTAGTAGTGGTAGTAGTAGTAGTAGTAGTCGTGTAGTAGGGTCCGTAGTAGTAGTAGTAGTCGCCGTAGTGGTAGTAGTAGCAGTAGAAGACAGGTCAGTATTAGTTAGTAGTGAGTAGTAGTAGTAGTATAGTTAGTAGTCGTAGTAGTAGCGTGTAGTAGTAGTAGTTGTAATAGTAATAGTAGTAGTAATAGTTAGGAGTAAGTTAGAGTAGTATAGTAGTCGTAGTAGTAGTAGTAGTAGTAGTAGTAGTAGTACTAGTAGTAGTTAGTAATAGTAGTCGTAGTAGTAGTCGTAGTAGTAGTGGTAAACATAGTAGTAGTAGTAGTAGTAGTAGTAGTAGTAGTAGTAGTAGTAGTAGTAGTAGTAGTAGTAGTAGTAGTAGTAGTAGTAGTTGTATTAGTAGTACTAGTAGTAGTAGTAGTAGTAGTAGTAGTAGTAGTAGTAGTAGTAGTAGTAGTAGTAGTAGTAGTAGTAGTAGTAGTAATAAGAATACTAGTCATCGTAGTAGTGGTAGTAGTAGTGGTAGTAGTAGTAGTAGTAGTAGTAGTGGTAGCAGTAGTAGAGTAGTAGTCGTAGGTAGTGAGTAGAGTAGTAGTAGTAGTAGTAGTAGTAGTCGTAATATTAATCGTAGTAGTCGTAGTAGTAGTAGTAGTAGTAGTAGGAGTAGTAGTAGAGTAGTAGTAGTAGTAGAAGTAGTAGTAGTAGTAGTAGTAGTAGTAGTAGTAGTAGTAGTAGTAGTAGTAGTAGTAGTAGTAGTAGTAGTAGTAGTAGTAGTAGTAGTAGTAGTAGTAGTAGTAGTAGTAGTATAGTAGTAGTAGTAGTAGTAGTAGTAGTAGTAGTAGTAGTAGTAGTAGTAGTAGTATAGTAGTTGTAAGAATCGTACTACTACTAGTAGTACGAGTAGTAGTAGTAGTCGTCGTAGTAGTAGTAGTCGTAGTAGTAGTAGTAGTCGTAGTCGTAGTAGTAGTAGTAGTAGTAGTAGTAGTAGTAGTAGTAGTAGTAGCAGCAGCAGCAGCAGTAGTAGTAGTAGTATTATTCTCGTTCTCATCATTATTATTACTGCTACAAACTATACCATCGAGAGAAGGCTGCCCCGCCTACCTCTTCTCGAAAAGGACCCTTGACGACCAGTCAGCCTCCCTGGGCGTTCCAGGCGGGGAGAGAGGGGGGATGCTCTAGGAGCGGCTGGCAAACGAATCTTCCGATGGGGAGCGCTTCAAATTGTGGCATCGACGCGCACGCGTTTGAGGCCGGGTCTTCTTTTAGGTCTCCCGGGGCCACCTTGGCGCCTTCACTGGGCCTTCGTGGGGCTCAATTGGACTCTCCTGGGGTCCGCTTGTGACCATCTCGTCGTCCCCTAAAGATTCTGGGAGCCGTTTTGGGGGTGTCTGGGTGGCGTCTTGGGACCCTGGTGGGGCGGTCGTGGGCCGTTTTAACGTCATCCTTCGACGAACAAGAAACGGGGTACACATTCTCACGGCAAGTTCGTGTCGTGCTGACCCCAGCGTTGGTTCCTGACATCCAGGGGATCGTTCAACCTTGAACGATCGGCCGTTTGCTGAAACGTCAGATCGTTCAACATCGACCGATTCTGGGCTGGCGGCGGCATTCATTGTTGAACGCCAGCGGCGTGGTCGAGGCTGATCGAGCGAACATACCGTTCGATTCTCGCTCGCCAGCCCTCCGCAGAAGGTTCTGGGGATCGGGGGTCATCCTCGGAGGAACAGCATAATTGCTCGGACGTCCGCCCAGATTTCTTGGATCGCCGCTGGACCCCCTCTCTGGCGCGCGGAGCGCGTCAATGTCGGCGCCGGAAACCCAAGGAATCTGCGCGGACCTCCGAGAAATTATGTTTATGCAGTTTTTGTTTTTCCTCGAGCCCTGGGGTCATGTCATCTCGGGGCGTCGTGAGCAGTCTGAGGAGTCTATTTGGGACCTCCAGTAGCTCTTAGGGCTCTCCACGACCGCGTTCGAAGGTTCTGCGGGCCCTTGCGGAGGCCCGTGGGGGCCACCAAGGCTCCCGAGGAGCGCCTGGGAGGCGCTGGGGGGCCGACTCGTTGCCCAAGGCACTTCCCGCACGCAAGTGGTCGAGCATTGTAGACGAGGTGACGTCGGGCTCCAGGTTCGCGTTCCGCATCTCACCAAGCAGCCAAAGAGCCCGCTGCCACTGCTCGCCCTTTTCGCACGCGCTGATAGCAGCGGTGTGGGTGACTAAGACAGAAGACAGAACCGTGGACTGCGTCCACAGCAAGCGGCCTGATCTGATCATAATTCTCCAAGCGAGGCTGCCCAAAGGCTAGGGAAAGGCCCGCCATGTTGGCGCTCACATGCTGGGCGCGCACGGTCACATGTCCCTGATCAGCGCCAAGGCCCAGTGCCATTGCATGCCTTTCTCGCACGCGCTGATCCCAACATCACAGCTTACTAAGAGTAACCCGTGGACTCCTTCCACGTCAACCAGCGCCTCCCGAGTGCGTTCGTTGCTGCTGGTTTATCTCGTCTACTAGTTGCTGCAGGTGCTGTTTGCGAACACATTGCCACCTTGTATTAGCTTGCTGCTCGCTTGGTTCTTGTTTGTTTGCTTGCTGGCCAACTTGTTGATTGCTGTTTTTTTTGGTTGGTTGCTGGCTTGCTGCTTGCTGCTGCTGGTTGCTGTCGTAAGCTGTCACGGGGCTCTCATGGGCTGAATCTGGGCCGTCTCGTGTCATTTTTGGGGTCTTCTTGGGCTATCTTGAAGCCCGGCTGGGCCCTCGGGGGGTAAGAACGCCGTCGGAAGGGGTGTCTTGGGCCGTAATTGGGAAATCTTGAGCAGCCTTGGGGCCGTGCGACAGCCCTTTTCCTATTCCAGCTTTAAATTTCAACGTGCGCGTGGAAGCCCCCAGGTCACGGCCGTAACCTTTTTAAATACGAGTCAGACGGGCATGAGCTGATCCAACAGCGTGAGACTAGAATGTCAGATCGACCAAAACAGGGGAAGAAAATGGCCCGGGGCGCGCGAGACACAACACGACCAAGATTACGAGAGCAAAGCCGCCAACCGTGGACTAAATTACCCCTGTCGGACCCCCCCCTCCCCAACCCCCACTGCGCAAACCTGGCTCGCGGCCCGGGCGGCGCAGTCCGCGCCTGCATCCAGCTTTGCGCAGGAGGCGGGATGGGGGGCGAGGGGGAGGGGCGCGGCGCGCCGCGCGCTGGCTTCGCGTCCGTCCGAGATGTGGTCAGAGCGACAGAGAACAGCCCGCGCGGACTTTCCAGGCGCGTCTTCGGGCGCAGCCGCTCGCGTGGAGGGTCGTTTTCTTTGTTGCGCGCCCCGGAGTTAGGTAGCGCAGAGCAGCGGCCATGCTCGCATTCGACGTTGCCGCTCTGCGGTGGCGCGCGCGCGCGTTTCGGCGCGACGCGGCACGGGGGCGCCCTCGCTATGTCGCGACAGTGGGCGGCGTGCAGCGCCCTGCCAGCCGCCGCCGCCGCCAGCGCGGGAACGCCCCCTATAAGAACGGTTTTTTGAAGGCAGATCTGCCTTCAAAAAACCGTTCTTACAGAGGCGCCCTGCCAGCCGCCGCCGCCGCCAGCGCGGGAACGCCCCCTGGCGTCGTCGTCGCAACAGTCTCTTTCGAATCCGTGTGACAACCGTTGCAAGCCGTCCAGAAACCGGTCTAGAATCCTATAGTATTCACATAGAAACCGGTTGCATCTATTAACAAGGATTTGTACTTTTTTTTTTTTTTTTGGGGGGGGGGGGGTAAAAACGCACCCGCAGGTTTCTATGAAAATCATGGCGGTTTCTAAACTGGTTTCTAAGCGGTCTCTAGTGGCTTCTACACGGTTTCTAGGGGAGCAGCGCGCACGCCGCACGGCGTCGCTTCAGGGCGACGGCGCGGTAGTCGCGCTGACCCGAACCGCGCGCTGCTGTCTCGTGCGCGCGACGAGGAAAGCGGCGGGCATGCCACGCGGCGTCGTTCGGGGAAAGACGGTCCTCATCGAACGATTCCACGGAGCATTTACAGGTGAAGGGGCGAAAGGCTGCAGGGCCAAGATTCGAAATCAAAAAGCGCCTGCGCGCCGCTTTTTTTCCAACGACGTTCTGTCGTGGCTGTGGCCGTCTGAGGCGGTCGGAGGCGCGCGGGCTGCGTAGGCTCGGAAGATGGAAGCAGGCACTGCGGAGCATGCCCCTCTATGGCCGGCGACCCCGGAGCACTCTCAAGGAGAACGTCCCGATGGTGCGCCCATGCAGACCAGAGCCGCTCCAAAGACGGGGCGTCAGTAAGACGCGCATGAGTGACATATTTTCCCAGGTGGCCGGCGCGATATCAGGGCCCTCTTAAGGTCCTGATTTGGGCCTCTTGGGGGCCTCCTGGGGCTTCTGGGGGGCCTCTTGGGGGCCTGCTGGCGGTCTCGGGGGTCATCGTGGGGCGGAGGGCTCGAGCTGTCATGTCGAGTTCCCCCTCTTGGGGCCATAGGTGATATTGCGGGCCTCTTGGGCTGTCTTGGATCGAAAGAAGCGAGAACGTCAAAATCCCCCACATAAGGGATATTAGTGATTTTCGCCTCTCGGGGGCCTCGTGAGGGGGGGCTTCTTGGAGCCGTTTTGGGTCGTATTGAGGCCATGTTTGGCCGTGTAAAAACCTATTTACAACCTCTTGGAGTGTCTGGATACGTTGAATTGGTTTGTGACTTTTTAGTGCTTTTGGGCTTTCCCATGTACTGTGACTCCGGTCAAGCTTCGCCCTAGGCGATTCTTGGCCAGTTTCTTCTTCACCCTCGACTATTTTCTCGGCCTCTGGCCGAGGGCGTCGAGGCATCGTGCAGCCTGTCGCCTGCATCCACAAAGCCATCTCGGGGCTATTTCCGGGCCATCTTGGGGCTGCTTGGGGCTATCTTTGGGCCGCCTTGGCGGGCGCCAGGGCCAACCGTGGCGGTCTTGCCTTCTGGATCCGTTTTCCTTCTGGCACGCGGCGCGCCACCCCTGGCATTGTAGTTCGAGTAGGGCAGACCCGTGGACTACCACGACAAAGGGGCTGATCTGATCGTAATCCTCCCAGCGGCCACGAAAGCTCATTAACATGCAATGGCGAGGATCGCTTGTGTGCTGAACTCCTTGTCTGCAACCCTGCTACAGGCGGTTGCTAGCCTGGCGGCCTGCAACTCACTGCCTAATCGTATGGTTTATTTGATGCTTACTTCGTTGCTTGATAGTCCGCTCGCTTCAGCTTGGTGTCGCTTGCCGTTTCGTGCTGCTGCTCGATCCCCATTTGCTGCTTCTTGCCGCGACTGGCCAGTATCTGGTGATGCCTGTTGCTTCTTACTGCGGCTTGGTTCTGCTGGTTGGTGCTGCTGGTTGGTACTGGTTGATGCTGCTTGCATGCTGCCGCGTGCTGGTGCTGCTGCGTACGCCTGCGAACGCTGACTGCTGTCATTCACTTGTGGAGCTTGTCGCAGCTTCGTGGTGGTGGTGGTGGTGGTGCTGCTGCTGCTGCTGCTTGCTGTTGCTGCTTCAGGCCTGCTGGTTGCTGGTACTGTCTGCTGCATGCTGCTTCTTTGCTGGTGCTGCGTGCTGCTACTATGTGTTGCTGCTGCTGCTGCTGCTGCTGCTGCTGCTGCTGCTGCTGCTGCTGCTGCTTGTGTTGGAATTCTGCGGAAGGCATTTTTTTGCTCAGCCGAGCGATGTTCGGATCATCTTGGGCAGCGAGAAGCGTCCATGCTGGGATCTCAGGGCTCTCTGGAGCGGTCCTGAGAGAGTCTTGGCCACTTCGGCAGCCCAGGGGGAAAAACGAGCAGAGATATCTCGGGGTCCACCTTTGGACCAGAGGGCCATACTGGGACGCTGTTGAAGCCCTTCGGGGCTTCGGGAGGCCCTTGGTGGGCTCTCGTGTGGCCTCTCCAAACCATCTTGGAGTTCCTGGGTGCCTCGCGGGGCCCTTCTGGGAGGCCTGGGTGCTGTATGGAAGGGTCTCGGTGCCACTGTTTTTGTGTCGTCTTGGAGCTGCCTTGGAGCTGGTGTTGGCCGTTGCGTGCTGCTGTTTGATGCGCCTTGGCCCTGCTGCGTTCCGCTGCTGCTGCTTGGGTTAATGCTGCGCCTGCAGCCAAGTGCTGCTGCTTGCTGCCATTGTTGCGTGCTGCTGGCAATGCCTGCAGCTGCTACTTGCTGTTGCTGCCCATGGCTGTAGGGTGCTGCTGCTGCAAGGTGCTGCTGCCTGCCGCACTCTGCGGCTGCTTGCTGTTGCTGTGCGCTGCCGCTGCTGCTACCTGCGTAGTGCTGATGGTATACGCTGTTCCTGCTTGACGTTGCAGGGTGCGGCTTCTCGATTCTTCTCCTTGGTTACGCAGGATGCTGCTCGTGTGTGGATCGAGGATGGAGGAGGAAGAAGCGATGAGGGATCAGCAAGGAACGAGAAGGGACGTGAAGAGAGAGGAGCGAGGGGGAGAAAGCCATTACGCGATCAATCATTTTTGCTTCTGGGGTCCCTCTTGAAGGTCCTCTTGGGGTCATCTTGGGCCACCCAGAGGCCATCTCGGGCCGCCTTGGGGCGCTCTGGGGCCGTCTTGGGGGTCTCCCTCGCCCGTCGTGGAACCCTGGGGTTCTCTTGGACTCTCTTGGGTCCCTCTGGGGGCCCTTTTGGGCCGTCCTGGAGCGTCACGGGGGCGCGCTGGGGCCAACCAGGCCGATTTGGATTCACGGAGCGTCGTTCCCGCATGGCACTGGCGGATTGGAGCCCGCCTGATTGTGATACCGTTGTCGCACGCGGCGCTCCCGGCATTGCAGAAGAGACCAGGGCTGACCCGTGGATTCTGAATCGCATGGGGGTGACGAGAGCTTGCCTGCTTGAGTGCTGTCCTGCGCGCGCGGCTGCTGGCCTGCTGGCCAAGCAATCCCACCAGCCCTCTGGGCGTCGGTGGTTTAACGAGTCTTGTTTCTCTCTGGCAATCTCCTTCCTTCCCCTGCTCAAGGGAGGGGTCATTACTGCTCCCTATTAATGTATACCCCCTCCCCCAGGCGACCGGCAGCCCCCACCATACCTGCCCAAAAACAATAAAAAGTACACTTCGGGGCAAAGTCTGGAGTCATGTTCGTGGGGCCCGCGAGCACTTTGTAGTGTTTTCTGCTAGGCACGGCGGGGGTGTCAGCATTTGATCTGCTGCGCGCAGGGAAAAATACCACCCCTGACAAAAGTCAATACAAGATGCACCTCGCGGCTAAATTTCGACCATGCGCGGCCACCACGCGATCACTGTCAAGTGGTGGCGTATGACCAGCTGTGCGCAGGCCCTCCAGGCACAATGATGGGCACTGGTTTTCGACAGGCATGGTGGGGGCCGACATGTTTACCGATGTGTGCTGTCACGTGTGCAGGCGCACCTGACCCGAACGTGGCGCACCTGGCGCGGCTGGAGTATGCGGCACACATGGTGCACGCGGAGGCACGTGGTGCATCTGGCGCACTAGGCGTGCCTGGCACGCTCGGGCCCCAAGGGTGCGTGGCGCTCGTGGCGCGCCTGGCCCGCGTGGCGCACCTCGCCCCAGCGTTGCGCATATGGGCTCGGCTTTGTCTCCCAGTAGCTGTCCATCCACAGACGACCGCTGAACATGCCTGAGGCTCGGATGTAACTTCTGTGTTGGGAGGGCGGGTGGGAGTGAGCTAGACGGCTTGCTATCTAGGAGGGTGCCTTGATCACTGTTCTCTACTAATAAACACCCGCTCCCCCAGGCGACTGGTAGCCAACCCAGAACAGAACCATGCGGGCACCCCCGCATCATCCCTTTGTTGAAAACCATACCAGAAAACACTCTGCCCCCAAATTCGGAGCATGCGTAGCCAACCCGATGCGGCCTCCCCCCACTATCCCTGTCAAAAAACAGTACAGAGTGCAATTGGCGGCGGCGGCGGCTGCGGCGGCTGCGGCTGCGGCGGCTGCGGCGGCTGCGGCGGCTGCGGCGGCGGCGGTGGCGGCTGCGGGGGCGGGGGCGGCGGCGGCGGCGGCTGCGGCGGCGGCGGCGGTGGGGGCCGCGGCGGCGGCGGAGGCGGCGGCGGCGGCGGATTGGCCCCCACTAGCTGCCCATCCAAAAACGACTGCTGAATATGCTGAGGCTCGGGCCAGACTCGGGTGTTACGTATGTGTTGGGAGGGCGGGTGGGAGTGAGCGAGACGGCTTGCCGGCGGGGAGGGAGTCTTGACCCCTCCCCCTGCCCCTCCCCTGGTCCTGGGAGGGGGGGCGCGACCCATTAGAGCGTCCAAGATGACCCAAGGTGGCTCTAAGAGGGCCTCAGATAGACCAAGATGGCCTCCAAGATACTTCAAGATGGCTCAATATGGTCTCCGACATACGTCCAAGAGGCCCCAAGACAGCCCCAAGAAGGTTAGAAGTGCCCTTCGAGTGCTCCGAGGACCCCCCCCAAGAAGCCAAGATCCTTCAACAGCCAAGATAACGTCAACGTTTTTTTGCGTTTTCGCTTTTTCGCTTTCCATGGGCCTGGGAGGCTTCATGATGGCTCAAGAGAGCCCCATCAGGGGCCAAAGAGAGCCCCAAGCACGCCCACGAGTGCCTCAAGAGCTGCTTATGAGGGCCCCAAGTCGCCAATTTTGAGCCTCCGAAGGGTGGGCCTGAATCCGTTGCCCCACTCTCTTTGACCCATGGGGCTCAACACGGCTCCAAGAGACCTCCCAGACCTCCCCAAAGGAGCCCCAAGAGGGCCCCAAGGCGCCCCAAAAGGAGCCCCCAAGGGGCCTCAGGTCTTCGCTTCCGATGGCCTTCCGAGGCCTCAGGATGGCTCGGGCTGCAGGGTCTTGCAGGGACTTTGCAGGGTCTTTGGGCGGTCGTTGCAGGGTCTTATATATTTACCCATGCGATCACCCTGCGGGTGATAAGGAGGTTGGGGGGGGATGGTCCCAGCAGTGGGCAACAGTGGTGATTGTTGTTATGACGATGCCAGTGGAGATTGTTGCGTTGCCGCTCGCTCTTGGGAGCTTTGGTGTCGAATTGTTTACGTCACCCTTCGCTATTGGGCGCCTTGGTGCCATCCCCTTCCCCCGGGAACCCTTCCCCCGGGAACCTGAACCAACGAAATTAAAGATTTCTTTGTGCATTTGCAAGGGCGGGGCACTTATACGACCACCCTTCGGGTGATAAGGAGGTGAGGGGGGGGCAACGTCGCACTCGATCGATCTCACTATCGATCTCACTCGATCGATCTCAATCGCTTAATCTCACAATCGGTATCACGATCGATCTCACGATCGATCTCACTATCGATCTCACAATCGATATCACTATGGATCTCACTGTCGATCTCACAATCAATCTCACGATCGATCTCACGACGGGACACCGACGGGACACCGCAGGACACCGATGGGACACCGACGGGACAGCGGCGGGACAGCGGCGGGACACCGCGCGGCCCCGAACGCCGGGTCGCCAAACATTTGGTCCGGCCGCGCCTCAGCCACAGGAGACTTCCTCTCGCCCGCCCACGCAGCCTCGCCTCGCCCGCACGCACGGCACGCACGAACACGAAACCGAAATCGATTTCCCGGTGGGGGGGCTCTCCGTTCCACTTCGATCTCACCCCCCAACCTCCGATGTATATATGCACAGAGACACGTACG